CCATTTTGCGTATATTTTAATGTAATATATATACCAAATAACTTTTTTATGAATAATATAAATATAAAGAAGTTAAAAAATTATTGAGTCACATATTATATATATATATATATATAATGTTAAGATGACAAATTATTTTTGAATAAGAACATATCGTAAATATTACAACATTTATATAGTATATATGTGCGGTACTACTTATACTCCTTTGTATTTGGCGGGAAACATATCTTGTTGCTGTGCTCACGAAGTAAGGTTTATCCTCTAGTTTTATTGCATCGATTTTAACTCTACACTAGTAAATACTAGTAGGCTATTAAATTTTATCGTTATATATTAATATATATAGTATTGTGTATTTTATTTGTAATATTTACATTTGTTTAAATATTTATAATATTTCTCTATGGCCCAGTGTGTATAGGTGAATTACAGGTGAAGGTTGACTAGTCGCAAAACTTTGTTTAAACCTGCAATCTCAGTTCCTAAGGCCAAGAGTTTGCTATTGTATTACAATGGCTAATATTTCTTACTATTTTGACTGGTTATACTTAGGTTTATAACTCTGTGTATATATTTATAAATTATATATATACGAGTATATATGAGGTTCTTATGTTTACTAATTATTTGTAACTTACTTTCATATATAATTTTTCATAACGGTATTGTCATCATTAATTTTTGTTGAAATTATATTTTCAACTTTAGGAAATGTAAACTGATAGGCTTATGCTTTTATTACACATGAGGAATATTAAAATTAAAATATATCTTGGGATATAACAATTTTTATCAGATACGTCACAAGTATTTTAACCCTTGATGGACAATTATTTTGAAAAAAATAGCAAACAAAATAAGTTTATTTAAGAAAACACATTTTAGAAACTTGTTTTGACAAAAAAAAATCAAATTTTTTGTTTTAATTTTGTCTTTCGATCCACATTACAGATTAGAGCCTTACATTGCAATCTTTTCTTTCTTTTGAAATAGCTGTTTCGAAACCAACACATTTTTTATTAGTAGAGGTATTTATTTATGCTTTTTTAACAAGAATAATAATAGTAGTATTTATTTTGAAAAACTATTTAAAGTTTTATTTGTGTGTGATATATTTGGAAGCAAGATGCAGCGCGCTTAGCTTAATATATATATATATATATATATATATATATATATAAAGCAATTATTATTATATATAATGACTCTCTTTTTTTGCTCTATGATGACATCACAGATGTCAGTGATTTAGGGGAAAAATGCAGGGTATCTTACTCAGTGCTATTCCCAAACAATCGATTGGATAAAAATACTGTGGTCCCAAAAAGCTGTAATTTTTGCTGCATATTCACTCTAACTCTCTATAGCCATACGGAGGTCTTCTGTGCCAGTGATGACCTTGTGCCATTGCTGCCAACAATCAAATAGAATGGATACATTCCTATCAAGTCTTCCGTAATGGCGTGGAAAGAAAATCCAATCAATTTTTTCTTAGCCCTATTTCGCTTTACCTCTTTCAAACAGTGAGCTGCTGATAAAGGCATTTTAAAAGGGGCATTTTTTGACTAACATCAACTTTCAAACCCTAAATGATAAATGCTCTAAAACCCTTTAATGTTTATTTTTACATAAAACCATATTGCATGCCCCAAAGTAGCCCTACTAGTGTCCCACGTTTTCCCCCCGGGGGGAAATTTGAATCAGTAATCTTTTAGATGTATAAACGTGTATCAAAATTCGTTTTTCTAGGCACAAATCATTCTTTGCCTTGGGATTTTTATTACCATCTTTGTATTTATAAATGAAATTTTATTTGATGTTTTAAAATAAATTTTGATAAAAACAGTGTTTATGACCACACGATAGAAATGAAAATTTATGATTTATTCTGAGCAAGATAATCCAATTGTTCGGATATACAACGTTTTCTTTTACGACATTTTCGCATGCGGGCGTAAATTAGTTCTCTTTTATTGTACCCATTCATCGGCGGATTTCTTTATTTCAAACATTTTCTGTAAAGGGCAATGTTTAAAAAATTATACAATCTTATATATTTATATATGAGTACTAGCTGGTATACCAGTTCTTCGACGAGTGATTTGAAAAATAAAATAATAAAGATTGAAGGAAAAAAGGAATTTTTAATGCGTTAAATTTAAGTAAATTGCAAATTAAATAAATAAAGCGCCTTTTCAACATATCTCTGCTCACCAAAAAATCATATTTGTCAAATTTTAAATCTGTAAGTAAAAAAGTTGAAAAAAAGTTTTTTTCTTAAAATATATAACGTCCCCATATCTTGAAAACCCCATTCTTATTTGATCTCTGCATAGTAAAAGTTATTTTCCCCCCTTAATTTCAAGTTTGTAGGTTTAATTATTCATGAAAGACATTTTTTTATATAAAGCGCCCCCACAAACCTCCTTGGATGTCAATTTTCGCAAAACTCTTTCTTATCACATCTCTCTACTCCATGAAAGAAACACACCAGCTAACTTAAAAGTCAAGATTTAATAATTTGAAAACACGCGATTCTATTTCACCTACAACACCATTTTAAACCCCTAAACCCCCGGGGTAAATTTTTAAAAGCCTTTTGTACATTTCCCCTATTTTTGAAAAGGAATATACCTGCCAAATTTCAAATCTGTAGTTAGTAGTGTATCAAATAGTTAAAAAATGGCAAAATTTTTTTATTACGACACTTAACCTTTCGCAACCACACTTAGGGGAAGATTTTCGCAAATCCCTTTTGTAATGGATCTGTACTTTATGAAAGGAGCATGCCCAACAAATTTCAAGACTGTAGATCTAATAGTTCAGAAACGAGAATATTTATCTTTAGCGCTCCTTAATCTTCTGAAACGCCCCTTAGGGGTGGATTTTCGCAAAAACCATTTTGTAGCGAATCTCTACTCCATGAAGGGAACATGCCTACCAAATTTCAACTCAGTAGATCTAATAGCTCAAAAACAGGAATATTTATTCTTAACGCCTCTTTAAGCCACCAACCCTTGGGGGTCGATTTTCGCAAAACACGTTCTTAGAGAAACTCTACTCCATAAAAGGATTTGGCCTATTATATTTCAAATCTATAGGTCTAACAGTTCAAAAACGGGAATATTCATCTTTAAGCATTAATCTCCCCCAAACGCCCCCGGGGGAAATTTTCCAAAAAACATTTTTTAGGGATATATTCCAGAAAGAAATCTGCTTTCCAAATTTTTAAGTATTCTCAATGTTTAAAATGGAAATAACTAAAAACAACGCCCTTATTTCCCCTCTCCCCGAAACTTCACTTGGAGTCGATTTACACTCCATTTTTTGCGGATATCTACTCCAAGAAAGAAATCTGCTTATCAAATTTCGACACTGTATGTCTAATAGTTTAAAAATGAAAATAACGCCTCTTAATCCCCGCAACGCCATTTGGAAGTCGATTTTCGTAGAAACTATTTTGTAGTGGACCCACCCAAGGGGAAAAGGAGTACGCTTACCAATTTTCAAAACTGCACGCCTAATAGTTTAAAAATGAAAATACCTATCTATAACACCCCTCTAATTCTTCGCAACAGCCCTTGGTGGTCGAGTTTCACAAATTCCGTTCCTAGAGGATCTCTATTCCATGAAAGAAACATGCCTACCAAATTTCAAGTCCTTAGGTTTAGTAGTTCCGGAGATATTGTGACGAGTGAGTGATACGCTTTTCTCCTTTATATATAGTGAGTGAGTGAATATTAACGTCGCACTGTTCAGCTACAAGAGGGCTTTTGGCGACGGACCTCGTCATTTTGAACTATGGTCAAGTGACGAAAACACCCGAGCTGGCACCACCCTCCCCAATCCACACCAAAACGTTTATTTTGACAGATTTAACGTATCCCCCCTCACCTTTTTTTAATAGAACATATAAAATTTTAAAAGTCAATTTTCAATTATTTAAAGATATTTATACGTAAATTATATTTATATAGATTATATTTATAAAGTATATATTTTTATACGACACTTAAGTACTATAGCAATAAAGCCAAATTTCAAGACAACTCGTCAAATTGACGCCCCTGATTTCCAATGTATCGAGCGCGTTGAATTGGCAACCATGTGCTTTCTTTCTTGTAATGTCTCTAATACCATTACGATGTTACGTAATTATCGTCCCCTTGAAATGAATCTCTTAGTTGTCATCACACTAATATGAACAAAAATACTATCAACTTTCTTGCCATTTGACTTCCTTAAAATTTCGGATTTTAATACTCTTGGCACATTTTTGTGCTTAAATGCTTTTTCTGCTGAATCAAAAAATGGATTACACATGTTTCGTTTCTTCTTATCTTCAATCTCCTATATAAAAAAAATTATTATCAATTTTTTTCTTTTTTCTCTTTCTCTCTGGGTTAGTGGGGAAATGGGCTTTTAAAAAAAACAAAATTAAATAAAAAAAAAATAAAATTTCGTGGGAAAAAGTGTGCACGAAATTTTTACTTAAAACACGCGACTAAAATTTCTCAATTCAAAACTAAGCGCGCGTCGCCGATCCGAGCGCGATTTCCAACACGAGTCGAAAGAAACGTGAGTCGAAACTAGAAATCCGACTGGCATAGCGCAACCGAACCTGACGCTTTATTTATATTCCCTCTTCAGCAAAACGAGCCTAAGGAAGTAAGTTATCACTTCAACAAGTATATCGAACTGTTACAAATATAACCTTCGATGCATTTTTTTTTGTTTTCTTAATATTTGAATCATATAAAATATGCAGTTAACAAGTAATATAAAAAATATTAGGGACAATTCCTACTAAGGTCAACAAAGAAAAATTATTTTATTTTAGTTACTTTTTATTAAGTTGTTAAAATTAATATAAATATGTCTATACATATGACAGAATCCCAATATTAAGTGACAAAATATAGAGCGATTTTTCTTTTCCTTTCTATATATGATGCTCTGGACTAATTTTTTCTTGTTTGTTGCTATTTATAATTCAAAGGTCGTGGAATTTGAACCCACGTCCTTTGGATTAGAAGTCCAACATGCTATCCATTGCTCCACAGCAGGGGTACTCAACCTTTTTTTTTCTGATAGGCTGCATACAGATGTCAGCTATTTCACACAGGCCACATACATATGTTAGTCATTTCACACGGGCCGACACAACATGAGGGTAAATGGTGGAGAGGGAGGGGGGAGAAATGCTTTAAAACCAAGATAACATTGGCAATTTAAAATGTGGAAAATTGATCAAAATATTATAACTTCTGTTTTGCCTTTGTTAATTATTATTTTTTTATATTTTTTTTATTTTGTCACTAACACTAAATTAGAAACATTTAAGAAACACTCCTTCACAATTTTTGCATCAGTAAACCGTTTCCATAAGATTACCAATAATATAACAAACTTCATAGGATATCTTTGTTACCTATGTAACTACTGACGAAACACTTTGTTGCTGTTCCAAAGATTATTCACACAAGAAAGCCTAATTATCACCTCCTGAAAGAGATCTTTGAGGAAAAGTGTCTCTGAATGATTCCTGTTTATTGGTATTTCTTAAGTACAGTACTTTCGTCACAAACAGTTACTAACCCAAGCTTGTTTTTCACAACAAAACAGTCAACCTCCCAATCGTCTTGAAACGATTTATTTTTTTCGAATATTTTTCGCTTGCAAGGTGTGAAAGATTAGTTTCACCCATAAAGTGGTCGCTACTCCACTGTTGTCTGTTATCACTTCCAAATAGAAAAAGAAAACATCAATTTGACACCAACAGTAAAAAAGGAAAATTGATGTATTTAATTTCTTGATAAAGAATTTCCCACCAAATTTTTAATACAATGTTCTTAAAATAGTAAATTTCTCAGAGCAATGAGCCATGACCGGGCCACTTAAAATGGCTCGGTGGGCCGCGGGTTGAGTATCGCTGCCCCACAGGGACACAACAAACGATTTTCTTTTCTATGTATGCCAGAGGTGGCCAAGACATCGACCGCGAAGACATTTTAGGTAGTTTGCGCAATTCCCCCCGATAATGACCTCGGATAATAACAATTTAATTTATGACTGGCAAATAAAAATTAAGGAATTTGAAAAAAAAATTTACTACAGTTTACGTTTTAAAACCTAGAACAAACGTGCAAAGTAATACAATAAATTTTCGTTCTACAGTGAGAATTAAATAGAAGCAACTTGAAAAAAGGGATGCTTAAATTATGATCCAGTAGGCGGACGATATGCGACGCGTGACTAGTCCTACCGTCACACCCACCCGTTTAGTTTCAGTTCTCGTTAATCGTTTTTACTTGTAGGTCCTGCTTCCTACCGCACTGATAATTATAATTTGTGGTTTAAAACAACCCGTCCAAAATGACTGCAGATACCAGTGCTAAGAGAAGTAAAACATACCATTATCACAATGAGTGGAAGATGATTCCCTTTTTGTTATGGGTGAAGGAGAAATGGTTTGCCCATATGTAACCCCAAGTATGACACTACCAAAAAAGCAAACGTCGAAAACATTTTAAACCATGACTAAAATACCATTGACTTTCCAATCGAGAACTTCGAAAAGTTAAAGTGCATGAATTAAAGTCGAATTTACATTTACAGCAATCGTTATTTACGAGACCAGGCACCAAAGCTAAAGCAGTAACATTGGCGTCGTTTAAAATTACAGAGGTTTTGATAAAGCGAAAAAAACCATTCGAAGATGGAGAATTGTTAAAAAAGCTTTCTGTAAAGCGGGAGAAGTACTTTTCCACGATTTTAAAAACAAATTTGAAAAAATATCGTCAATAAATAATATTTCTTTGTCTCGTAACACTGTGATGCGATGGACTGAAGCTATGAATAATAATTTGGAGGTTTTATTAAATGACGATTTAAAAGCTTGTAAGTTCCTATCACTTCAATTTGATAATTCACGATATTTGTGACATTGCACAGAGTATTTTTGGAGAATGGTTTTTGAAGATATGACTTTAAAAGAAGAGTTAATAACTATAATTTCCCTTGAAAGGACAAACGAGAGGCCAAAATACCCCACAATTCATTTAAAAACTTTTTTTGATAAGACAGGATTTTATATAAATTAGCCTATTAAACAGATGGAGCCCGCAATGGTAGGAAATTGAATTGGTTTTATTGCCTGGCAAGTGATGAGGAAATCCCCAGTTTTACTCAGCTATCATTGCATTATCCATCAACAGCTATTGTGTTGAAAAAATACTAAAGTCTAATGATATAATGCAAATTGCTTTAAAATCGTCAATTCCCCGTTCAAAGTCTCAGGACGACAATTTCGGCGCTTTGGAAGAAATTGAATCAGAGTACGGAGATCTCTTATTGCACCAGACGTGAGGTGGTAGCTGGTTCATTTTAAAAAAATTTCGTATTCTGTTACCAGAAATAAAAAAATTTTCTACAAATGAAAGGAGAGCACATTACTGAATTGGAAGATGAGAAATGGCTCATGAAACTAGCTTTTCTCTACGATATCACTGCAAAACTTAACGATTTAATACTAAATCTACAAGAAAAGAATAAATGTTTAACAGACATGGTGAGCTCGATTAAAACTTTCAAAGAAACGATAAAAAGGTATGCGTCTCAATTAAGAAAACATGAGAAACTTCAAAAACATGGAGGAAGAGGGAATCCATAATCCAAACCGAGACACTTCGAAGATTTCGCCGAACATTTAGATGTTTTTTTTTTTTTTTTGAAGAATTTGAAAGAAGATTCGCTGACTTAATTAGTTTGGATGAAATACTCAATTTTATGATATTTCCATTTAATGAAAATGCCAACATTGATGGAGTATCTGAAAAAATACGACATTTAATACATACCACATCAGTCACGGTCGAGGAAGAAATTATGAAATTAAGATGCGATATATTTTTTTAAATCCAGAGCATCTAGTGATACTGATTTTTGGAAATTAATTTCTGAGGAAACGTTTCCAAATATTTACAAATTGATTTTGTATTTGAAATCATACTTTGGATCGACGTATCTTTGCGAATCTGCTTTTTCAACCATGAACGCCATAAAAACCAAACATTGGTCGCGTTTAGCAGATGAAAATTTAATTTCGTGTTTACGCAATGCAATAAGCTTGTTCCAGCCACAATATGATAAACTTGTCGCAGATATACAGTGCCAAATTTCAACTAAACGAAGTGAATAGGATGGTTATTTTTTTTGATATATGAATACTTTGATTATTTTCGTCAGTAAATTTTTATTTTGTAAATATTAATATATAAATTTTTTTATAGAAAAATTAGATAATTTGCCATTTTTTCTTGTTACCGAAAATAAATATATAAACATGTACGTTATGTTAATTTGGCTCTGCCATTGGTAGACCCCTTCGACTTTTTAAATGTGGAGTAGACCACGGATCCTAAGTTTGGCCTTTCCTGATGTATGCTGTTGGACTATTATTTATGTTTGTTGCTATTTATTCATTTTTCAACTAAATTTTTTAATGAATTAATTTTAATGATCTCCAACAATGGCGGCTACTCTTGCTACTGATTCTGGCAGGAACCACACTTCACAGAAGTCTATAAATTTAATCATTTGATACTTGGTCAACATGTTATCTACAAAATAAATTTTATTGCGCTATCTCTTGTCTTTCTTGGTGTCGCATTTACGGTGGCCAGCAGTGTATATAGGGAGGCGGCTCTAGGGCGGACAAACCGGACCCCTGCCCGGGGCGGCAAATTTTAAGGGCTTCATTTAGATCAAACTTGATAAAATATTTTCCCCCCACCAAAATAAAATTGATGTACACTATTTTCTGAAATATTTTTGGGTGTGAATTGGTATTTTATTTAACGTATCTTATTTATTTATTTTTTTGTTCGCTTTATATTTAATGACAGTTTTCTTTTATGTTGAAACTTGAATTGCTCGAGTCATGAAATTTGATATGTTTACAGATCTTTCCCCCCATCCAGGAGTTGGGTCACAACGGACATTCTTTTCACCCATACGATGTCAACTATCCAAAAGGTAGTTACTGCAAATTAAAACCAACGCTTGTGATTCTCACCATTAGTAGACAGTTTTTCGAAGAAATTGACCCTCTTAAATAGACGATTCCTTCTCTTTCATTTCACTCATTTAAAATAATAACAAGTAATTATGTCCTTAATTTATAAATATTCTGAGTTTTAAGATTTAAAATAATATCTATATGGAGGAAAAGATAGGGGGTGGCATTTTCCATTTTTGTTCGGGACCGCAAAACTGCTAGAGCCGGCCCTGAGTGAACTAATGGTAGGGATTGAAAAATAATTCAGTATTTTTTTCATCTCATTTATCGCAAATATAATTACAAAGAATTTTAATGTAAACATTGGACGGAAAAATAATGATTATTTTTTTTCAACTACCACTTTTCCTCATATTAAATATATTCTTGGCAGTTTAGTAACTCTTATTAAATTGAAAAGGAATTCCTTCATTGCTTGGACTATTTTCCTGTCTTCTTTTATTACGAAAAGGTATTTTTAATGAATGAAATATTTTATCTGTTTTACGTGTATCACTTCAAAAATATATATTAACGGCAGTTTAACGTCGATTTCTTCATACTAATTTCCCCCTTAAAGGTCTAAATTTGAATTTAATTTATGATTTCATGGTTTTTCCTTTTCAGAATATACCAGGAAATACTGATTGAATGCCTGATAAGGTTGACAGCAATAATAATTGGTATTCGAAATTTGTTTACTGGATTCAGTCGAAGTAAAGCAAAACCAAATTTTAAAAAGTTCGATTATTTTAAATCGATTGAAAACATATAATAACAACATAAAGTTACTTATACTCCAATTATATATAAACAGGTGGTTATCAAAATAATTGAAACACCTATGAATAAAAGGGACATTTTTTAATGCGCTTCGTAAGCATTAAAATATAAGAATAGCTACCATTTTTTTATAAATAGACATGTGCGTATTCTGGTAGTATGTAGTACTTCATCGAAATTCTGTAAGTCTTGATTTTTTTCAAAAGTGTAAAATGTGTCC